TGGGGGTGGGGGCGGGGGGCGAACTAGTTGGGCAGCTCCTGGGGCTAAGCCTCAGCCCTCCAGTCTTGTGCTCTGTCATTGACAAAGGCTGTTTTTGTCCTGCTGGTCCAAGGAGGTGCAAGTCACATCAGGCAGGAGGGAAGAGAAGAAGGGAAACTTGGGCGTACCCATGCATTTAAGGGTACACTGGGAAGGTACACATCAGCTGCAAGGCAGGATGGGAAATTCAGTTTTGGTCTGGGCAGCTAAACTTTGGGATTTCTAATGTTAAATGAAGGGGATGAGGGGTATCAAGGGTCAGCCTGCAGCCTCTGCCCCCTCTATGTGCTCCTGGAAGTCATCTACTCTCCCACCAGGGGATCCCACCAGGGCATCCCACATTTTGTGAAAATTAGCTGATTAGGAGAGCATCCTTTCTGCACTACTGTGGAGGGGATGGGGGCTTAGGCACGAGCAGTTCCCTAAGTCATGGTTCAGGACCTCCCCCATCTTGGGAGAGCGAAGGCTGTCTATGGTGTCCGACAAAGCCAGTGCACACCCACACAGCTTTCCTGCTGCCTGTGCTGAGCCAGGCACTGTGCTTGAGATGTGCACGGTATTAGACGTGGAGTCAGCGTGGGTGGTGCCCAGACTCCCAAGTCACTCCACAGTGAGAGACTCGCAGGGTTCCAAGGACAAGTCAAAATAATTTGGCCGAGCCTCTTTGTTTTAGAGGTTGGTCAACTGGTGTCAAAAGCTGGAGAGGGACTCATTCAAGGGCATGGGGCTGTAGGTGATGAAGCCAAGAGCCACCTGGGTCCCTGGGCTCTTTCCAGTGAACACTACCATGACCTCACTGGTCCTGAATGATCCCTTTTTACATTAAAGAGATACATGGTGACCAAATCAAACACCATTGAATCTTTCTGTTCCCTGCCCATCTCGTCCCAGAGACATCCACAAGTAAAGACACTTTACTGCTTCTGCAAGTGTCTTCCAAATCTTGTAAGAGCAAGTGCATCATGGGGCTTTTAAGTTGCTCTGTGATCTCTCAGTGGCTGCCCCCCCAGAGGAGGGGTTAGCTCTCTTCCTTCACTTGCCACCATAACTCACAGCCTCCTACATGGCTAAATTACCATTTTCAATGACATCATCGTAATCAGCATTTATGTCATGTGGCCAAGTAGATGTTATTTAGAGCAGAGCCAAGTATGGCAATATGGTTGCATTTTCTTTCTTACACTACTTTTGATTTCTCTTGAATTTCCTTGTTCTTTTTGCTGCAAAATTTGCTTACAAATATTTAGTTTTTACCAAATCCTCCAACATTTCATCTGCTTCCATATTTTTCAAGCTGTTTTGAATACAACCCATTGTAAAAAGTATATTTTACAACAAGGCCTGGCACACAAACACACACAATATAAAACTAACATTTCACAGAATATTCTTACCTTGAATATAAGTAATGCCCTTTGATATTTTCTACTGAGTTCTGTTATTTCACATTTTAAAATGCTGGTCAAGACTCACTGAATGGAATTCAGCCTCCATTACAGAGGCTTAATCTGCAGTTTGGGAATCGAGAAGCTCGGGGTTATCCCCCAAGGCCCAGCCTCTCCTGCGGTCAGTCTCACCCTGAGCTCTATTGACTGCAGCTTCTGACCATAGTTCGAGTCTGTCATGGGTGGGCTCTTGGGTGATGGATGCAGGCCCAAATGGAAAGCCCTTTGAAGGCTTCAGTCTTTAACTCTGTGGCTGCTTTAAACTGACAATAAACAGATTACCCAGAGGAAAGTCATACACATTTATTACTGTGCGCATATACCCAAGAGCCACACAAAACAGGAGACTCGTGGAGAAGCCAGATGGTTGAAGTCTTTATAGCCTGTAGGAGTGGAGGCTTGAGGCTTTTGGGGGAGGTGGTGACAAGTTAGAAAGGAAAGAGGGGGAACTGCATGGTAAACAAAGGTTGCCTTGTTATGCAGATAAAGTGTCTAGAAGAATGGACAACAGCCTTTCTGAGTGCAGTGGGGTCTTCCCTGGCTGTTTGAAGAGATTCCTAGGGAGGAGGTCATGCCTATCACATTTCTTCTGGAAGTACATCCCTCAGCCAGATAAGGGAACTCCAGAGCGATCCCCCGGCCCTGTGCTTTGGAAGGGAAGGAGAGACAGGAGAAGGTCAGAGAGAGACCTGAGTTTTGAGGCCCACTTCTGAGCTCTTTCAATATCCTTTGTTCAAAGCACTCAGCTTTGAACATTGTCCTGGGGTGCTGTTTTCTGAGCCCTGACACTGAGCAAGTCTCATCTGTAGACTTCTCTTTGCTCCTTTCCTGGGATGCTGAACTTTTTCATGGTGTTTTCTGTCTTTGTTAATTTTCTGCTGTCCAAAACTACCTTTTTTTTCTTTAAATTGAGGAACACTTCATTGAGTAACTTCCAAATTACTTCTTTTTAATTGAGGAAAACGCAATTTTGAGTGACTCTCCAGCCTATTCCTTTTCTTCATCATTTCTCTAGTAACAATAAAGAAGGAGGGAAGAAAAAATTACAATAGGAAGGAGGCAGGAGAGCAAGTATGAGAACTGATTTGCACACGGCTTTGGTTCTGCATGAGGCTGGTGATACCCAGATGAAAAGCCAGACGTCTAGCTACGTACATCCCTGGAGAGAGTCTGATGATGGAATGCAATGTCCACTGTGGCTGTAAGTCAGAGCATCTCACCCTGACTCTATGGACAGTCTGGGCAGGATACAACTGTGTGAGGACTTCCCTGTGTATCCTATGAGTACCTCCTCTCCTAGTCGTGACAATTGCAAACATATCCAGACGTTGCCAAATGTCCTCTGGGGGGCAAAGTTGCCCCAGCTGGGAGCCACTGCTCTACAGGTTTGGACGCTGTGCCTGCAATTCCATGCAGCATCACGGCCTATTGATCATGTGTCAGACGGAGCTTAAATTGGTCGATCGCATCCTCAAGCAGCCACTCCAGAGCGTGCTTATCTGACACCTGTAATTTACCATCCTGGTTACGTGGGGGGCAAACATGGAATTATGCACATCAGCAGGCCCAGGGCCTGTTTTCCATGGACTCGGTGTTCCTGCTGAGCACGGCCTCGGTCTTCCCGAGTTATTAAAGACATTGATGCCTCAGAACTGACTCTGCCTCCACTTAAACGGCTCACCAGAAAATTACAATAAAAATCATCTGCTACTTATGAAATTGCCGTTCAAATGGATATTTCCCACCACTTGGCGACAGGCTGCTGTTTCTCTTTCAGCATCGGTGTCTGAGATGCTGTCTCTGGGAAAGAGCGATCATAGATGTTGTTGAGACGGTCCGTTGGCCAAGCTGTGTCCCTGGATTGAAACCAAAGTCACAACAATGGGTCTGAAACGTACTGAGGAATCTGTTCCAAAGATGGCAAGAGCAATTTCAAACAGTACTGCGAGGGCCCTTTGGGGTTAGGACAGGTTGTTCCTGGCTATCAAGGCGTTGGTCAGCTGAGAGCCCAGGCCCTGTGCAGCCATGACTCCTCCAAGCCAGCACTGCTCACTCCACCCGTGGAATCCCAGCCAGGAAGGCCAGTGTATCTGCGCCAGTGCCTGAAATGTCAGTATCACAAAGCCAGCAGGAGGAGTGACCCACTGGATCTCAGCAAAGATGACATAAAACAGGCCACAAAGCTGGTTCACCAGGATGCAGGAGGATTTGTCTGTTTTCTCCTGAGAACGGCTGCTCAGCTCACTCCACACAGCATTTCCATGCTTCATCTGTTAGCCCTGGAAGGGACCCACGGACCTTGGCAAGCTCCACTGTAGGGGACCCTCATGCTGACAGTCAGCTCACCCTTGTGGATAAATCCTGACTCTTCCCTGCATCTGGAGTCATCCCCAAGAACCCGATCACACAGCACACAGGAGGGCTGTGAGCTGAGATGAAATCTGGGCATTGTCTTCGTTGTTATTAATTTAATTGTCATTCTGTCTGAGCAGTTTCATTTTCGGAGAGTAATTCGATCGCCCTTTTAGAACCTTGATCATCTCGGTGTCATGTTATTAGAGGGAGGCATCCCTGGAAGAGGTGCCCACTGTGGTGTTCTTTTAATTAAATTCATCTGTTCCTGCAATAATGTGGATGAAACACCTGCCCTGCAAGCTAAATACGCACTTGCTCCTCCTATTCCTGGGACCCAGAGTGGAGTGGAGTTGACCACAGCGTGTGCGTTAGATGCCACTCTTCAGGCAGGTTCACTCCTGAGTCTGCACTCAGGGGACTCCCGCTGTTTCCCATCGTTGTGCTTACACCCACCCGGCTAGCAAGTGTGCATCGGGAGACGGATTTCACAGGTGCTGAGCTGCTGGGTGGGTGAGCTGGGAGATGGTGGAGAGAACACAAAGGCCGGATTTCGTTCGGTTCTTACCTGGAAGATTTGAGGTTGCAGGGAGAGAACTTTCCTTCTCTGCAGTCAGGCAGAGCTCAAGGCCGGTCCTCAGCCTTGTGAGGTCAGCTTTCCAGCTCTGTCTGGCCGCTTCTGCTCATGGAAGTCATGTCAGGACGCCTGTTTGTGTCCGCGGACGAGGGGCTTCCCCTGCCCCCAGCCTCATGAGTGGCAGCTGATGCTTTCCCGTCCCCCGGGTGAACCCTGCTTCCATTTCTCACGGTGCTGAAGCAGGAGCAGGGGGAGGCTGTGATCCATGATCTCCCACAAATCCCAGCAGACATGTTTTATAGTTTAAAGTGGTTATACGAGTTCTTCTTTTTGGATATTATTTGTGTGTGATCAGTTTACATGGTGTTTATTGGGTGTTTGTGTTTTTTATAACGTCGGTTTGTGGGATCTGGGAGAAGAAGGGTTTTTAAGAGGAAGATCCTTGGGGAGACAGAACCTTGATGCGGGGAGCTGTGAGCGCTCCACTCAGGGCGGGGAGCACATTCAGGGCGAGCTGGGCAGAGCCTCGGAGGCTTCTGGCTGCCCCTTTCTGGGTTTGGGGCCTGTGGGGCGACTCCATTCAGGGAGGATCTGGCCACTTGAGGCAGGAACAAGCCCAGTAAAGCCTGCGCCGCAGCTGAAGGAACGATCCCCTGTTTGTTCTCTAAGAGGCCCCTGCAGGCGGGAGATGTCTGAAATAACCACCCGCAGGCAGAGAGTAAAGGGCTCAGTGAAGAAAGAAACTGGAGCTCAGTCCCTTGAGGGCAGAAACGCATCCCCCACACCCGCCCTGAGCTGAGCACGGCCACGCCTGGGCTTTGTGGGAGCCTGACCAGGCCCAGCGCCTGCCCTTTGCTGAGCAGTGAGTAAGGGGAAGTTAGACAGCCGCAGGGACATCCTTGGCCTGACTGGTCCAGCCACCTCACTAGCACGCGGGGTGGATGAAGCTCAGGGAAGCCAAGGGACTTCTCCCGGATCCCTGGGGAATAGGACCGGAGGTCCCAGCTCTTGATTCCCCATTCAGTGCTCTTGCTACGGCCCAAGGTTGCTCAGCACCTGCCAGGCCTGTGCGGGGCACTTTAGAATCATTAGCCCACTTAACCCTGACTGCCACAGACACATGCCACACACACATTAGCCCATTTAACCCTGACTGCCACAGACACATGAATTGTACCCATTCTACAGATGAGGAACCGAGGCTCAGAGAGGCAGGTAGGAGGAGGGATGAGATCCAAACCCAGCACTGTGATTCCAAGGAGCCCTTAACTTCTATATGCTCATCAGATAAATATTCTATCCTGGGACAATTAGTATTTTCTTAGATTCAAACAACCAAACAAACAAAAACAAAAGAAATGTTCATTGTTGGGGACATGATTCTCTAATTAGACTTTCAAGGAATTTCCCAGAACTTTGTGGGTTAACAGTGATGCTACTCATTATTATTGGCTTCTGTCCCTCCTACCCAGCCCTGCCCTAAGCACTTTCCTGGCATTCAGTTGTTTAAACGTCATCACAAACTTATAAGATATGATTTGATGCGACATCACTGCCCCTGTGTTAAGGGTGTGGAAACTAAGCTGGGTGAGCAGAAATTGCTTGCTTTAAAACCCTGAACCCATGATTCCGTTTCCTTGGAAATATGCCCGGGTTGGGGATTTGGAAACCTGTGGGAGGTTGTGTTATTGAGGGTCATTGTTCTCATTCTCCACCTTCCTTCCCTGGATCTGTGGCCTCTGTCTGTGACTCCGTAGTTTGTGCACCTAGAGGTAGAATCTGTTTCCTTGTCCTGTTGATGTTGGCTTTGGTTGTCTGACTTGCTTTGGCCAATGGGATGTTAGCAGGTGTGATGTGGGCAAAGGGGTGCCATGTGCTAGCACAGCTGGTCTTGCCTGCTTGTTCTCCTGCCTTCCATCATGAAAGAAATAGGCCTGTGATTGTCACTGGCCCAAGG